TATGGCTTTAAAGAAGAAGAAGAAGAAGAAAAAAAACCAGGTTCATTGTCTGAACAATCACAACTGATTATAAAAATTGTGGCGAGGCAAACAGTGAACTGTTTTTGGCAAAGGAAATAATCCGTATGACTCCAATGATATATTATTGCAGGTAAGCAGCAAGCCCAAGAGAAAGAAGAGCTGGGGGGGGGGGGACTTTGAATCTGAAATACAGAATGGAATTGTAAAGACATATCCTAAAGGCACTGACGTAAGTGTTAAAACGACAGATTTAGATCAACTTGAACCTATATATCTAGCAAAAAGGACAGTCCCTCAAACCATTCTTACAATGCAATCCTATGCCTGTTTACTCAGAAGTGCATTCCATTAACAGCAGATAAAATGTAAATTTCAATGTATTGGGGGGAAAGAATCCCCCCTGTCAGAATGGTACTTTTGAATCTGGGATAAAGCAATAATTTATAAGTTAACTTACCATGTTAATTTAACATACTATGAGAACATACTGCATGAAAACTGATTTGTCGAAAGATGGACAATTTTTATTTGCTTCCAGAATGAGAAATGTGGTGATGATGTGACCCCATACTCATTATTCTCCTTCTTTAAATGTATATTGTTTGTTTTCTATTAATGACTTTTTCTTTTTACTGTATTTTTTATATATACAGTCATACCTCGGGTTACAGACGCTTCAGATTGTGTTTTTTCGGGTTGTGGACCACCAAAACCCAGAAGTACCGGAACAGGTTACAGTGGTGCCTCGCAAGACGAAATTAATTCGTTCCGCAAGTCTCTTCGTCTTGCGAGTTTTTCGTCTTGCGATGCACGGTTTCCCATAGGAATGCATTGAAAATCAATTAATGCGTTCCTAGGAAACCGCCTTCAGACCAGGTCCGGGGACAGTCTGTCCCCGGACCTCTTCTGAAGGCTGGGGGGCAAGGGCTTTTCTTCCCACCCCCAGCATTTTAAAACCCGGGAGAGCGGAGGACGTCGCCGCGGTCCGGGCGATCTTACAATGCTGGCGGGCGGCATTTTAAAATCACCCCGGGACAGCGGAGGACTTCTCCGCTGTCCGGGGCAATTTAACAGCCCCTGGGAAGGCAGGCAGGGGGGACAAAGACTTGTGCCCCCCGCCAGCCTTCAGAAGAGGTCCTGGACCTCTTCTGAAGGCGGGCGGGGGGCGAAAGTCTTTGCTCCCCCCCGCCTTCAAAAGCCCTCCGGGACAGGCAGGCAGGGGAGCAAAGACTCTCGCCCCGCCCGCCTTCAGAAGGTCTTCCCTCCCCCGCCCGGCTCCGGAGCACCGTCCCGGGCCGGGCGGCGGCGGGAGGTGTTCCCTCCCCCGCCCGGCCTCGGAGCACCGCCCGGGCCGGGCGGCGGCGGAGGTGTTCCCTCCCCGCCCGGCTCGGGAGGAGCCTTCCGAGCCCGGCGGCAGCGGGAGGAGGTGTCCCCGCCCCGCCGCCAGGCTTCGGAGGAGGTCCGAGGACAGTGGGGAAGACGCGCTGCGCTCCCCGCTGTCCCTGAGATTTCCCTATGGGCTGTCGTCTTGCGAAGCAAGCCCATAGGGAAATTGCTTGCGAAGCGCCTCCAAAACGGAAAACCCTTTCGTCTAGCGGGTTTTCCGTCTTGCGAGGCGTTCGTCTTGCGGGGTACCACTGTACTTCCGGGTTTTGGTGGCCGCGCATGTGCAGAAGTGCTAAATTGCAATTTGCGCATGTGCAGACACATCAAATAGCAACCCGCGCGTGCACAGATGCGCCGCTGCGGGTTGCGAACGTGCATCCCGCACGGATCACATTCACAATCCGAGCGTTCACTGTACAATGAAAGGAAAAGAGAAAATATAAGTACATTCCATTGAGTTCAGTGAAGCCTAAATGTAAAGATAAAGGGACCCCTGACCATTAGGTCCAGTCGTGACCGACTCTGGGGTTGCGGCACTCGTCTCGCTTTATTGGCCGAGGGAGCCGGCGTACAGCTTCTGGGTCATGTGGCCAGCATGACTAAGCCACTTCTGGCGAACCAGAGCAGCGCATGGAAACACTGTTTATCTTCCCACCGGAGCGGTACCTATTTATCTACTTGCACTTTGATGTGTTTTCGAACTGCTAGGTTGGCATGAGCAGGGACCGAGCAACGGGAGCTCACCCCATCGTGGGGATTTGAACCGCCGACCTTCTGATTGGCAAGTCCTAGGCTCTGTGGTTTAACCCACAGCGCCACCCGCGTCCCTTTCAGTGGAGCTTACTTCTAGGTAAAGAGGTAAAGGATAGAAAGAGTTACATGATTACATAGGGTGTGATGCAGTGTAAGGTATTTGAGAGTTTACATTGTTGCACAAGTTGTTGTGGAAGCAGTAGTACTGTGGCTGCTCACGTTCTGTGTATGAGCTGAGACATTAACACTCCAACCACCTTCAGTCGTGTAATAATTTTGAGTTCAATATCTTAAGAAAAGAGTAAGCATGTTGGTTTTATTAAGTAGCAGTTACAACAAACACTGGGTTTCTGCTGGACTCCTTTCAGGCGGCCATGCTCCATTTCCTCCAGCAATCACCTCCAGATTCCCACATCAATGTCTCTTGTAAGGAAATGTCTCCAAATTACTACGATCATTACTCACTGCAAAATTGTGGTTTTGCCTGGTAGCAACAGAACCACCTTAGAGAGATTGTGGTTCTTCTTCCATGGTCTACATGGAAAAAAAGAGAAGGGAGTGAGGAATTTGGTCCTAATACTTGCATACATTGCCTTAAACAAAAGGATGGAAAGCTTTCGGAGTTCAAGTCTTTAGAAAAGCTGTGTGCTTTTTCTGAAACCAAATCAAATTCAAGGTATATATTTTAAATGTATATTCAGAAATCAGAGTGACTTGCTCCTTTAACTTTGCTGACTTAATAGGTTTGGTTTTCCTTCTTGTTCACATGCAGAATATAATTGGGGGTTGTGGAGGAGGAAAGAATCATACTGTTCAACAAGGATCTTTTAAACATTTACTAAGATTAATGAAAACCTTGAACTGAAATAGCACTTGCCACAGAGTCTTTTGGGGGCTATCACGTTTCTTTGTATGATGTAAGAACAGAGATTTGAGTAATCAAAATGTAACTACAATCCTTACCCCAAACACCTGTCTATCCTACATAGATAATTGGCTTTCCTGTTTCACTAGAGTACGATCACAAGTTGTGTATCCAGTATATGAGTTACTGGTTTCTGCCTCAGGATTTAGAATATTCTTGGGCTCATATTACACATGTAGATAAAACGTATTACAGCAATGTAGCTGTTGCAGTCCATCTGTTCTACTGTTTGGAGGCCAAACAAGATGTGATGTTTGTCCCATAGTTTGCACTTTTAAGGAAATAATTAGCCAAAATAGATGGATGGAGCTGGATGAAGACCAAGTCAGGGGAACTTTCCTACCACTGTGAATAGTATATGTGGGTCCAACTGTGCTTGCACCAAGGACAATGGATTAAGTCCCTCTAATCCACACACTGCGGCTCCCTCCCCCACTCCAGCCTTTTTTTTAAAAAAAGAAGCAAAGCCACATTCACCTTTTAGTCAGACATAACTTCCCTTTTTAATAATTTTTTAATTATTTTTCACAATCAAACACTATCTTCACGTACCTTAATAGCCAAATGCAATTAAAATAAAAACAAAAAGCAAGACATTTACATACCATATTAAACCCATATTTTGGGATTCCTCCGATCCCTTGACTTCCCTCCATTCCCTCCCCTTGTTCTTTTGTGTTATTTTATATTATACATGTCTATTATTTTCTTATCTTTAAATATTTCCAAATTCAAACATTGTACTTAATATTACAAGTGGGTTTTTTTTAAATAACCCTGCTGTTGTGTTAACTTCTTTACAATGCTTCTGTAAATATGCAATAAACATTTTCCATTCTTTTTTATATTTGCTGTCCTCTTGGTCTCTTAGTCTTCCAGTTAATTTGGCCATTTCAGCATATTCCATTAATTTACGTTGCCAATCTTCTTTGGTTGGGACTTAGTCATACATTACTCCCTTTTTTTTGTTTATAATTTTTTATTAGTTTTTTTTAACATATCATTTTCAAGAGTAATTAAACATACTTTTACATCTTATTCAAATTTTTGACTTCCATCAGTCCTGTCTGAAAATTTTCCAATCTAATCTGTCAGTATGCATTTCTTATCTTCCCTATTACATTTCAAACTCATAACCAATATCTCTATAATTTTCTACTTTGTAACACTTCGTATATTTCTCCTTACAAAACTTCTTGTAGTCCTACTAGCGTAATTTGTTGATTACAGTTGCTCTTCAAATAATTCATATACTTCTTCCAATCTTCTGTAAATCTCTGGTCCCCCAGGTTTCGAATCCTTCCTGTCATTTTGTCCGATTCTGCATAGTCCATTAATTTCGTCTGCCATTCTTCTTTTGTCGGAATTTCTTCTTGTTTCCGTTTCTGGGCTTAGTCATACATAACTTCCTAAAAAGACAGGAGTGAGCAAAACCATAGCTGCTGAGCACAGTGGCGGAGGAAGCCGCTCAGGCGCCTGGGGCGGTGCACCCAGGGGCGGGGCAAGCCGCCCATAGGGGCGGGGTCACCATGGGGCGTCTGGGGTCTGCCTGCCTCCTCCCACTCAGCTGCCCTACGGCTGGGGGGGAAGGCAGTGGGTGGGCCATTTGGGCAGCGTGGAGGCTGTGGGCGCCCCAGCCGCCATGTCACTCCCAGGAGAGACGCGTGACTCAGGAACGCTGCAGGCCCTGCGATGAGTGCCACCCGCAGTGCCACCCCTTCAGTGGTGACACCCAGGGCGGATCGTACCTACCGCATCCCACTTCCTCCTCCCCTGGCTGAGCATTCCTCAGATATGGAAGGAATGCAACATACATAATACCAATCAATAATAGCATCATGCCAAACTCTCATAGAATCAAAGAGTTGGAAGGGACCTTGAGGATCATTCTTCAACTCCCTGCAGTGCAGAAATATGCAGCTGTCCTTTACGGGGATCAAACCTGCAACCTTCAGGCTATCAGCACCGCACTCTAACCAACTGAGCTATGCAGGATCCCAATGCAAGATTTCCTGGGGTATGCTTGTTTGTGTGTTTTACTATTTTTAGAAAAAACAACAACAACTGTCAATGAACTTTTTAAGCTCTTCTCCACTTTTGCCTCTTGCGCTGCACACCAATGGCCTGTGGACCCCAGAACACTGTCCAGAAGGGAAGGTGGCCCTCAAGCTGCCCTAGCCTTATACTGGAGAGAAGATTGAGCTTGTGGGCACATCTTCTGGTAGTGATCTTCATATTCATGAAAAATAAATAATAATAATAATAATAATAATAATAATAATAATAATAATTTATTATTAATACCTCGCCCATCTGGCTGAGTTTCCCCAGCCACTCTGGGTGGCTCCCAATCGAGTGTTAAAAACAATACAGCGTTAAATATTAAAAACTTCCCTAAACAGGGCTGCCTTCAGATGTCTTTTAAAGATTGGATAGCTGTTTATTTCTTTCACATCTGAAGGGAGGGCGTTCCACAGGGTGGACTGAGAAGGCCCTCTGTCTGGTTCCCTGTAACCTCACTTCTCGCAATGAGGGAACCACCAGAAGGCCCTCGGTGCTGGATCTCAGTGTCTGGGCTGAACGATGGGGGTGGAGACGCTCCTTCAGGTGTACTGGACCGAGGCCATTTAGGGCTTTAAAGGTCAGCACCAACACTTTGAATTGAGCTCGGAAATGTACTGGGAGCCAATGCAGATCTCTCAGGACCGGTGTTATGTTGTCCCGGCGGCTGCTCCCAGTCACCAGTCTAGCTGCCGCATTCTGGATTAATTGCAGTTTCCGGGTCACCTTCAAAGGTAGCCCCACGTAGAGTGCATTGCAGTAGTCCAAGCGGGAGAAAACTAGAGCATGCACCACTCTGGTGAGACAGTCTGCGGGCAGGTAGGGTCTTAGCCTGCTTCTGGTATTAGCTGTGCTTAATTTCTAAAATGAGAAATGCTGGTCAAGTCTTGACAGATCCACACCTTTTAGTCCAGCATTCAATGGTGGCCAACCAGATACTGCTGGAATCTCATAAGGAGACCATGATGGTGATGACCATTCCCTGCCATGTCTCTGCTGGAGGTTAGAGGTAGAGGTAAGAGCCATGATAGGTGAGCTTTAATTCATCTATCATGGCTGTTATCCAGCTGAAGCTAGCTTGGATGCCCTTCCTCTCATCCCAGAAATGTGTGTAGCCTGTTTGTGGTTATTCAGTAGGCAGAGAACAGAGTTTCTTTATATGCCCCAATGCTAAGTCCTGGCAAGTTCCAGTGCTAAGCCCTGGCAGCTGGGCTAGCAGCAGCACAGTGTAAAATGACAACTCCAGAGAACCTGAGAATTCTCAATTTTTTTGCATGCCATTTTCAGTATTGGATCTGACTTCAGTTCAGTTCCAAAACACCAGCAGTTGAAAACTGAAAGTCCATTTCCTTTCGAAATCTGCTTCCTTCCTTCCTTCCCTCCCTCCTTCCTTTCTTTCTTTCTTTCTTTCTTTCTTTCTTTCTTTCTTTCTTTCTTTCTTTCCTTCCTTCCTTCCTTCCTTCCTTCCTTCCTTCCTTCCTTCCATCCTTCCTTCCCCCCCTTTTTTAAAAAAAATCTGTTTATCTTGCATCTCCTTAAATCTCCATAATTTCACACCTTTATATCAATCTTCTGTGGTAAAGGCAGCTTGTCTGCAGAGAAATAGTGTTGGAGAGAAACTGTTTCTTGCTTTCCATGAGGCTTGTCTAGGCAAATACTTGTTATGATTCTAAATACTTCTGCAAATATTAAAGATTAATCCCGTCCCCGTGATCAGAGTGCAAGCCTTCAGCTGACCCACAAAGCCCAAAGGATTAGCTGGCTTTTTGAAACAGATGCCGATATAATTACACAGGAAGAAACATGACTCGCTGGTTTGAAAAGACACCTTCAGGTAACATATCAGTGTTCAAGGAGGCATGTTGTAATGCTGGAAACTGACAAGGTGGCTTAGAGTCTCAATTGACTGTTCGCCTTTGTTTAGCTTCTCATATCAGCGAGGTACCTACCGCTTTGACATAGGAGGAAACCCCACCCCCAATGAAAATTATAACAGTTGAGAGGAGAAGGTTGGGCAACTGGAACTTCCCTAATCTGATCAGACTTGCTTTCCACTCTCTCAGGCATAAACATCCAGCACTATTACACCTTTGATTTACGGCCATGCATGGATCAGCACAGCACAGGTGCTTTTGAATTATACATTCTCTTAACAGAACATTAAACCTTATGGTGAAACAGAATGGGCCAACATGTAACTATTATCTTTGATAGAGTGGACTGGAGGAAGCAGAGCATCATGTTCCCTTGTCATGGAAACTTTTTTCTTTCCCCCTTTGGTTGCATTGCCTGAATGAGTGTTATAAATAACGCTTTGTTCCTTCTTGTGAATAAATAGTGTTTGTATTACTCGGCAGAAGCATGATAGATTGCTGATCACTGTTAAGAAGGGGAGATTAAGGTCTGACACATGAAAATAGCTGTGTGCCTGCCGGCAAGTCAGATCCTGCACAGAACTGTTAAAAGAACCTGGCAGCCCTTTTGGCTCTTTGACTTCTGAGGGAGGGAGAGGGAATGGCGGAGAGAAACGTATCTTTGAATAACTTGACAACCCATCTGTCCTTGGTTCATCATATTAGGTTATGACCCAAAGTTGCTGCAATATGTAGGAAATCAAGTTTGATTTTGTAATATAGTCAAATGAGTGCTTTGGAGTGCCATGCCTGCGATCAATAAGAAAGCGGTAACTACATTTGCTTGTCATATGATGATATTGATGTAAAAACATAATGGTCAGAATTATAAAATCAATGCCATAATTTAATCAGGAATGTTTATTGATACTGTTAAAGTTGAATTCAATAGCTCATGGTACGCAGTTAATTTCCTACCTGTCAGCAGAGGGGTGGGGGAGTAAGGAAAGAGAAGTATTGAGATGTTCTTCCTTCAGCAGACTGGAGTTAATTTGGGTGGGGGAGGGAGAATTAGCAGAGGCACATGATTTTAATAGACACTCATTTGTTGTAATAGAGCACTGACAAAAAGGAACCTTTGGATATTGAGAAGAATGTGTCTCTCTCTGATGAAACAGACAAGGCCTTTTGTTTCAGATGATCAGTTCTAGCTTTCAAGTTTCATGGGCAGACATTTTCTGATCTTTTGCATATATTAATCTAACCAAAGCATTATAGTCATGCCACCCTGTTGTAAAAAGAGAAGCCTCTTTTTATGCTTTGATCGGGCAGAAATGGGCCATTACGCCATTCTTTTGCTAAACCAGCCTTCCTCAACCTAGTGCCCATCAGATGTGTTGTACAACATGCATCAGCCCCAGTCCTCAATAGCTTCCACAGCCCTGATGGACTCATCCACTCAGGATGTCAGGAGTGCGTACAGGAGCCAGGCCCTGTGACTGGTAGGGCTTCACAGGACTGGGGCTTTCCTAAGTTTGTTCTGAAGAGGCAAGGAAGGGATATAAGGTCTGCATTTCCCTTTGGCTCTTTGCCACAACAACACGCTTCCTGTCTTGCTGTGTTTGGCTCCTTGGCTCGTTGCTTCCTGATCCTCGGACCCTTGGCTCCTTGACTCCTGGCTTCCGGACCCTTGGATTCCGGACTCCTGGCTTCCGGACTCCTATTCCTGCTCCCACCCAGCTGTCTTGTCCCTGGTCCCGACGTCCTCAGCTGGGACTTCAACCACCCATAAACCGGACCGTGACACAGGCCTCCTAACTCTTTCCCACTTCTAACCTATTGGAAGAATTAAGAGGCCGGGGAAAGTCAATTATGGGCAATTTCAACTCTGTCCACATTTGAAGATGCCCACTTTCCATAGCCATGGAATAATAGCAAGGCAAAACAATTTAGTGCTTCTCATCCCCAGTAAGTGTGAAATCAGGAAGCTATGCTGAATATTCTGAGGGTGGGATTGACGGTGCTGGAGGTACTTAAGTGCTGAGTTTCAAAGTGTCTTTGAGAAGGATGCAGTAACCGTCAGCAAGAGGAGGGTGTGGCTGAAGCACTCAAATTTCCTTGTCCAGTTGCTCTTAATGCTGGGAGAAGGAAGGATTCTATTGGCTGAGTCCCTGGACTCTAGCCCAACCCCATGGACACCCGTGTGTTGATGCACACAGAGATGTCCATACAGTGGCTTCCACGTGCCTGCAATCTTTGCGTGAACAGATATTCCAATGACACAGAGCTGTATAGGCTTTCACAGTGCAGATGGATGTTCAGGGGACGGGGGCAGTGCAATGAATGATGTCAGGACTTGGGCATCAGTGCTGCTCTGCATCCCACATGTTGCTTTTGTGATTCAAGAAGGACTGAAGAGGCCAGCATTATTGGTTACAAGTGTCCTAAGATGGCAGCCTCTGGTTGTGTAACATAGACTTGATTCCACTGCTGCTGTATTTTCTAATTCTACAGACATTGTTCCTCCATTTAAAAACAAATGTCAAATGCTGTGAGTGAGAAAGCCATTGAAGTGCTTCCCCGAGGCCCTGACAGAAAAGTAACCAACTGAGTCCCCATGAGTTGGCCACCAAAGCCTGTATGGAGACTCCTGAGGGGCCAGGAAAGGCAGAGTAGCTGCACACGACTGCCATTTACCTGATAACTTACCATTGCTATCTAAACTAATGGAGGCCACCTGCCCTATGGGAAGGAAGAAGAAAGTGAGGCAGGCAGCCTGCTCCAGCCAGCTTGTGGCCTCCCTACCAAGAGGGCCAACGGACACCATCTGCCCAGAAGATCCTGGGTCCTGCATTTGTGGGGCTGGCTGCTTTTTTTTCTGATGACCATACAATTTTTGTTACCTGCTTTGAGGACTTGTTGTTGTTTAGTCGTTTAGTCGTGTCCGACTCTTCGTGACCCCATGGACCAGACCACGCCAGACACTCCTGTCTTCCACTGCCTCCCGCAGTTTGGTCAGACTCATGTTTGTAGCTTCGAGAACACTGTCCAACCATCTTGTCCTCTGTCGTCCCCTTCTCCTTGTGCCCTCCATCTTTCCCAGCATCAGGGTCTTTTCCAGGGAGTCTTCTCTTTGAGGACACTAGTCAACAAAAGGGATATAAAACTATAATAATAATAATAATAATAATAATATACTACGGTTGTAGCAGGAAGGAGAACAGAATCCTGCATCTGATCTACAAAATGGACCTAATGAATGTGCATGGAAGAGTTCTTAGTCTACCTGGGTTTGGTCTACAGATGGAAGACTTTCCTGGAACAGCGCTGTATTCTTTTGGGTCATATTGGAGAAGCAGTCAAAGGATCAAAGAAAGGCCCGTGCAGTCGACCTGAAAGCAAAATGGAAGTCTGCAGAGGAGATGATAGATTACCTGGGGTTTTATTACAAACCTTCTGCTATTCTCTTTTGTGGTTATCACAGTTTTCCAGAGGAAGTGGTAGTCGCTGTGAGAGGACAGAGAAGGGCAATGAAGGAAACCAGGATATAGAAAGTATGAGCTATGAAGATTGACTTAAAAACCTTAATCTTTCAAAAGGCATTTTCCATGTGGCTTCCCTGTGCCATATAAATTTTTAAAGTGCGTAGATAAAGCTGCACATACATCATGATGTCATAAACTTCACGGAAAACATTTGGTTCTTTGTCTGCTGTGGAAATATTGCCCTGTTGTAATTTTCTGTGAAATGTGGTATACTAAGGTTAAAGAATGGTATATTTCTCATCTTTCATCGCCACACACCCAGACAGATGAAATGTACAAATCCATTGCGCCTGGGGGTTGGGGTCCCGGCCTCTCTGAATGTCATGAAATCTTCCAGTAGTTTAAAAGGGCAATTGCAGATCTTATTCGTTGGTATGCTTTTATGCTGTGCTTTAGCCTTTGTTTGATGGCATCCAGAGGACCATTCATAACAATCAGGATGACTTCATTTGTGTTTGTTTTTGCTTGCAATTAATCCATGACCAACTGTGAAATTTGCTATTTTACCATAACCAGTCCATTTCATTTGTCATCTCCTTCTGGAATCCACAGAGGGCTGGAGACAGGGAAACTCTCAGCCTAGCCCAACGACACGCACTGGAACAAAGGAAGATGTGCACATGACAAAAAAAATAATAATAAGGAAAAATGAATACAGATCAGGCATTTGGAAATGTGTCTCATGCCAAAAAAAGAGAAGATATTGTACGTGTAATACGAGTCCCACCATGAAAGGATGCTTAGGGAAAATGACTCTTCTGGGTACAAAAAAGCAATTATATGGCACCCTGGGGGAAAGTAAACTATGTAAACGTATATGAGATGCCAGACAAGCTGAGCTGGCAAAGGGTACTTGATATTTCATCATTATTGGCATGGCACTACAGTCTAAAAAGGACCAAGAGTCTGCCCTAAATATACTTGCTCTCTGAGCAGGAATTAGAATCTACAAAAGAAGGGTTGTAGCACAGTGGTAGAAGATCCCAGTGGTAGCAGATCCCAATGCACTCAGAAGATCCCAGATTTTGTCCCCGGGATCTCCACACAAGGCTGGGAAAGACTCATTTAAAGTTTTGTTATCTGTTGTGGTCATTATTATTGTCTCACTTCTGGCAACGGATTAATGGTTCAGCTCTTAGGTATCCATAGCTTAAGTCCAGCATTGGGGGGAACTGAAATTGCAGCTGTACTCGGCTGCCTGCTGCTGCTTGAGGACCAGACAGGGACAAAGAAAGGAAAAGGTGGGCTTAGGGCAGATGTCAGCCATGGCATCTGCTTAAAGATGAAAGGCATGTTGATTCTGGGCATCCTGCCACCAGGAGCAGCCTGCTTCACCCTGCTGGGTTGTAGGGCTGGCCCTGCCTTGCATGTGTAGCTCAAGCCTTAAAGAAGGGCTAGCCAAAGGGGATGCCTCCAGATGTTGTGGACTACCATCAGGCCCAGGCACCAAAGACAATGATCAGGGATTGTTAGGGTTGAAGTCCAAAACACTGGGAGGTCACCATGTTGGCTATCCCTCCCTTAGAGAAACAGAGATCGATTCCTGCAATAATCTTCTGGCAATGAACTCTGCCAGAGGATATTATTTAGTTTTTTTGCTTTTGTAATAAAAGCCATTTACCATTTTCAACCCGGTCTACACATATGTTGTTCCCCCATATGACAATGTTTTAACTGTTTCTATATATGATATCGTTTTATATATGTTTTTACTAGTGTTGTTTTCCATTGTTGAAGTCATTTTGAGATACTTCACAGGAAGCAATTCCTAAATGAAAGAATAAATAACTAACTTTTACACTAGCTTTTTATTTAAATGAAATCATTTTGCATTGTATGAATTGATGCTGGTTGGTGCAGAATTCTTCTGAATTTTGTTTAAAATCGCGTTGCATTCTGCTGATTTACAGATTTTAGTCCACGGAGGCTAACTGCTCTTCCCTGAAAAGTTAGCACACATCTTCATTAGCTTCAGATTCTCTGATATGGGGAATGGTTGAGTGAATTTCACTGATGAGGTAAGACCACTGTCTGGCAAGTTTGGTCTTATAGGACCAGGTCTCCCCTGAGTGGGTAGGTGGGGGCCGTTGGGATGGGTTGCTGCTGGAGACTGGTGGAATCCAACGGTTTCCTGAACCTTGTGGGGAATTTTCAAGTTGCTAGATCCTGTTAAGGCAAGATACAAAAGGAACATGTGCTGGGCTGTTCACATCACTCCTGAGGGTCCTCTCTTATCCTCAGAGGACCACGATTAGCTCCACAACCCTCCAGAGAACTCAGACTATTAAACAGGTCAGACGACAGAATGCAAATAGTGTAAGAGTCAGTATGAAGCTGACAGGACACGTTGGGTGGCAATGAAGGTGACAAAGAAAGCTTAGTTTGCTGCCTCCCTCACACCCATGAGGAGCTCTATAGCAGAGCTATTCTGGGTGGTGAGAGGACTGTTGACATCTGTCCTGGCCAGTGGAGTGTTGGAATTCTCAGACACCTGCTGTGGCAAGTTTGCCAGATGCTTTGAGGATAAAGTCACTCATCTCCATGCCAGGTGAGGTGTCCGATGAAACAGCTTGCCTGAACTTGAGGGATCAGTTTCAGTTGATGAGACCTGAGGATATGGACAAGGTGCTCCTAAAAAAATAAAAACATATTTTTATGCAAGCTTTCCCTCACCCATAAGATGGGACCCAGTACCTTCTCTCTCTCTCTCTCTCTCTCTCTCTCTCTCTCTCTCTCTCCTTTCTGTATGACTGGCAGGACTCCATTAGGCAATTCAGTTTTGTTTTGTTTTTTGTTTTACAGAACACATGCACACAAACACAAGCTGTCCAACAGATGTTTGCATAAAACAGCATGAACACATGATGGCGAGGAGGAGAGTTATATTTGTTAACTCTGTATTCTCTATTCATAGTCCCTTCTGCCCCCCCCAATAAATTTTTGAGGTGGCTGCCCCTCTCAGGTTGGTGGGCATTGCCACTTATATGATGTATGTGCGCACTGCATCTTGTGATCAGTTATGACCCCAATATTTTATTCACGTTGGCATACTTGTCTCTTTTTGTGTCTTTATTGTTTATTTTAACCCAGAATGAAAACTTTGTCACTCTGGAACATGATGTTTACCTACAAGCAAAAGATGGGTTTCCCTGCTAATAGGTTCTGGCCGTTCATAGCTATTGTGTTTAGCAAAACTGCCATCCACTGCTTCTTATTTCATCTGCCTCTCCTTAAATGTACAGGAGGGGGAAAAGGTTTTAATTAAAAAGAATTAAAATATGCTGGCAGTTAAAATGTGTTAGTATTGTACCTCCCCTAGTTCAGACCAAACTGATATTTTAAGATCGCCTGAGGAGATCCTACTGGTTGATCCATGACCGGCAGATTGTCGCTTGTTGACAACATGGAAACAGGATAGCACCCAATCGCTAGAAGGCCCTCCCTTGTGTACATTGTAGGCAGAGACAACAATGAACTTTAAATTCCTTTTAAAAACTTATGTGTTTATGCAAGCTTTCCTGGACATTCTCTCTCTCTCTCTCTCTCTCTTACATTGCCCAGTTTTATTGGTAACACGCAATTGTGTTTCGTTGTATCTCATATTTATCTAGTTGTGTCTAGTTATGCAGAAACTGCTGCATTTTCATTGTTTTATGCAAACTGCTTAGAGTTGTTTATTATATGAAGTGGTAAAAGATTTTATAAATAAATAATGGAATTAAAGTAAAGTCTTTTTTTAAAAAAAATACAGTATTCGTAGCACTGGAGATGCAAGAAATCCACTCTTCTGGAATGCGTTGAGTCCACTGAGCAGACAGTCATTGCTCACCACAGAGCCATTCTCTGAGCTGCATACTGCTGCTTTTCACCTCCATCCCGGAAAAGAAAAGTCCTTGTGCAGTAGGTGCTAAATCAAAATTTCCCAGACCACTATGAATGCTTTGATGTGCACCTGGGCAGCAATGCTTACGATACTTTAAAGACTGGATTAAGCTGACTGCTTCAAGAGACAGATGACTGACAGTGGCTATGGACACCATGCAGAAGCAGGGGAGAGGTGGTGCAAACACACTTCCAGTGCAATTCGTATGTGGAAACTCATATGCTTCTGCTATGAGGGTGTCTAGAGGTATCTCTTCCTGGAACCTGTGCATCTTGCCATGCCCTGGCCTTTGATGTTACACCAGAAGTTGAAAAGAGGAGGTCTGAGTCACCTGTGTTTCCCTGGCCTTTCCCTCTTCCTCCCCACACTCACTCAGTAGAGCATGAGACTCTTAATCTCAGGGTCATGGGTTTGAGCCAAAAGATTGGACAAAAGATTCTTACATTACAGGGGATTGGACTAGATGGCTCTTTTGGTCCTTTCCAACTCTACAATTCTATCCCAGCGCCTGCCAACCTAGCAGTTCGAAAGCATGTCAAAGTGCAAGTAGATAAATAGGTACCACTCCGGCGGGAAGGTAAATGGCGTTACTGTGCGCTGCGCTGGTTTCACCAGAAGCGGCTTAGTCATGCTGGCCACATGACCCAGAAAAACTGTCTGTGGACAAACGCCAGCTCCCTCGGCCAGTAAAGCAAGATGAGTGCTGCAACCCCAGAGTCGTTCGCGACTGGACTTAAAGGTCAGGGGTCCTTTACATTTACCTTTAAAACATACACAATATTTCCCTGCAAATGTGATACAATCAGTCTATATATCTTTTGGAAACCTATATATCTTCTTGTTCCATGTCCCATGGAGTCGGGACACGGGTGGCGCTGTGGGTTAAACCACAAAGCCTAGGACTTGCCAATCAGAAGGTCGGCGGTTTGAATCCCCGCAACGGGGTAAGCTCCCGTTGCTCGGTCCTAGCTCCTGGCAACCTAGCAGTTTGAAAACACATCAAAGTACAAGTAGATAACTAGGTACCACTCCAGCGGGAAGGTAAACAGCGTTTCCATGCGTGGCTCTGGTTTCACCAGAAGCGGCTTACTCATGGTGGCCACATGACCCAGGAAAACTGTCTGTGGACAAACTGTGGCCGGCTCCCTTGGCCAGTAAAGCGAGATGAGTGCCACAACCCCAGAGTCGTTCGCGACTGGACTTAAGGGTCAGGGGTCCTTTACCTTTTTAGTAATATGTGATGACGAAGAGGCACTTCAAGGCTGATGCCAGGACACAGCATCTTGGGGCAGTGGCCAGGGCCTCGGAATATTTGCAGGGACCATTCCTGATTATTATTACTCTAATTAGATGTTTAGGAAATTGAGGTCTTTTTAACCTGTCTTAGTATTTTAACTTTTGTATGTTTTAAAATACTGTTGTGTTCCTCTCTCTCTTGATTTTCTTGTTTTATCTTTTTGTAAACCACTTGGAGTGTGGTTCCTTTTTTACAATCAAGCGGTGTATAAATGTTATTAAATAATAACAATATATAATAATTAATCATTATTACTTTAATCAGCACCAGAAGGCTAGGCCTGAGAGCTGCTATTTCAGTTTCCCACAATGCTCCGGAGTGATGCTTTGTTAGAGACACTGCTGAAAATTAAAAGGGCTAAGCCCAGCCAATCAGGAGGTCCTGCTTTAAAGCTGCTATGGTTTGCAGCAGCCTCCATATCTAGACATTGCGAGCCAGAGAACAGCACATGATCCAGGGAAAAGCTGCCAAAGGAGAGCCAGTGTGGTGTAGTGGTTAAGAGCGGTAGTCTCGTATTCTGGGGAACCGGGTTCGCGTCTCCGCTCCTCCACATGCAGCTGCTGGGTGACCTTGGGCCAGTCACACTTCTCTGAAGTCTCTCAGTCCCACTCACCTCACAGAGTGTTTGTTGTGGGGGAGGAAGGGAAAGGAGAATGTTAGCCGCTTTGAGACTCCTTAAAGGGAGTGAAAGGCGGGATATCAAATCCAAACTCTTCTTCTTCTTCTTCATTGGTGCAGCTTTGTGCAACCTAACATGAGTATGTGTAACATTACACAAGCCTCCTTCTACACAGTGGCAGGAAGCACTGGGTTATACAAACAGAAGAGTTTGAGGTTTGCAGCTGTTGCAAATCTCAAATCTACGTGCCAGGGGTGCCAACTTGAATAAAATATTGTGGGGGCCCATGTAAGGCCTGCCCCCACATAATCAATCACATGACGCAGTGCACACACACCATTTGAATGGAAATGCCCACCAACTTTGTGGGGGCCTGGCCCTCTCAAATATTTTGTTGTGGGGGTTGAAGCCCCCATGGCCTCTAGGAGTTGGCTCCTATGCTATGTGCAATAGTAACCCAGTTTCATTTGAGCTGGATTCAGTTTAATGGGATTTACTCCATGCAAATGGTTGTATTATAAAAGGATTAATTAACAGTGTGTGTCTACTCAGAAGTAAGAGCCACTAAATTCAATGGAACTTACTCCCAGGCAAGCTGGCATGGGATTTCTGCCTTTAATGAATTTCATGAAACGTAAGGTGTTTGAACATGTTAGATGGCATATCAGTACATTTAAAGCACTCATACCACTGTCATGGGCTTTGAAGACACTCAAACTCAGGACGCAAGGGAGAAATGTGCTAGGAGGAAGGCACGCTTGGCAAACCCTCACCGTGATTAGCTCCCACCTGGAAACCAATGTCTCCACTGTGGAAGGACATGTGGATCCAGAACTGGCCTCCACAGTCACCTACGGACTCATTGTTAAAACCGTGTTTATGGAAGACAATCTTACTCGGCTATGAATGATCGTCAAAGAAGAAGAAGCATAATTAGTTTAATTCACATTGAAATGGTAAATGCCTATGTCTACTGCTGAAGGTTTAATGTTGGGAAAAATCCACAGGTGCAAATTGTGGGACTCTAAGCTCCTAAATGAGTTAATGGTTAACTATTGATTGTTCTTTACTCTATGCTGAGAGTGAACCTTGGACCATGTGACAAAGGTATTGAGTTGCATATTGGCCATCTTGGAAGGGTGGCCGGCTGTTTTCTTTGTTCTCCCAAGACCCTATGGACTAAAGAGGTATAAAAGACTCTCCTGAAGGGAAAGGGAAGGGAAACAGCTCCAGGCTAATGGAGGCTGGAATGGGGAAGAGACAAAGTTATGATCTCAATCCTGTTTAAAGTTATTTCTAAGAAGATTCCGAGCCTGTGTGGGATATGCACAAGATATGGAACTGTTTGGATGTACAGTGGTACCTTGGGTTAAGTACTTAATTTGTTCTGGAGGTCCGTTCTTAACCTGAAACTGTTCTTAACCTGAAGACCACTTTAGCTAATGGGGTCTCCTGCTGCTGCCGTGCCACCGGAGCACAATTTCTGTTCTCATCCTGAAGCAAAGTTCTTAACCTGAAGCACTATTTCTGGGTTAGCGGAGTCTGTAACCTGAAGCGTATGTAACCTGCGGTACCACTGTATCACTTACTGTTTTTTGTTATATTTTAAAGAAAGTTCCACAAGTAAAAGTTTGAATAATATCTAATGGGTCTGGACAATGCTTCACTCCAAAAGGACTCAGTTTTCATGCATTTAGTCACTTCAAATATTAATATCTGCAGTAACTACTTCATATGCTTTTGAATTCTGGTGCTGGAGGAGACTCTTGAGAGTCCCATGGACTGCAAGAAGATCAAACCTATCCATTCTGAAGGAAACCAGCCCTGAGTGCTCACTGGAAGGACAGATCCTGAAGCTGAGACTCCAATACTTTGGCCACCTCATGAGAAGAGAAGACTCCCTGGAAAAGACCCTGATGTTGGGAAAGATGGAGGGCACAAGGAGAAGGGGACAACAGAGGACGAGATGGTTGGACAGTGTTCTCGAAGCTACCAGCATGAGTTTGACCAAACTGTGGGAGGCAGTGGAAGACAGGAGTGCCTGGCGTGCTCTGGTCCATGGGGTCACGAAGAGTCGGACACAACTAAACGACTAAACAACAACAACAACTACTACTTCATGGTTCTACCCAAGAATCTTGGAAACTGTAGTTTGTTAAGGTTGCTGACCTCACAATCGTACAGTTCCCAGGATCCCCCAAGTGGTCCAAGGATCTGTTACGTATATGGTGTGTGGGTGTGACCTAGTTGCTCACCCAGCTTAGCATATTCTACTCTGATTGGCAGAAGCTTTCCTGCCTCTCAAGGAGGGAGTCTTCTCCATCACGACCCTTTTAATAAGGATGGCAGGACTTTAACCTGGGACTTCCTGCATGTAAATCATGTGCTCTACCACTAAGCTAAGGCCCCAACACATGGATCTTGGCCAAAGATATTTCCTTAATTAAAGGGTTTGCTTCATTGGCCAAAACAAGAAGAAATTACTCAAATTAACCAATTCTGAGTTAATTTGACTATTACTCTGAGTATTCAAATTACCTCTTGGTATTCAAATGATCTGTCCTTTCCAATCATTTTGAAAGGAGTAGCAGCACTAAATGGCTTTTTCAAACTGATTTTTCTAATATCTAAAGGTCTCAGCCAATTTTTGAGATTAACTACATCCTAAATGTCAGTTTAATAAAGCGGGTTCATTGCTGGAACTCGGGGAAATAGTAGGCTTGAAACTAAGTTTTAAAAAAACTTTTAAAAAATGAAATTTAGTATTCCTTGAAGCACAGTTGAGTGGGCTGCTGTGTACCAGTTCATTTAATCAAGGTTTTTCTTTCTCTTCTCACCCCTGGTAATAAAATTCTTTATTGGGTGTACTTTTCCTAAAATGAAGCTTTTGGGGTTTTTGGTTTTTTAATGGTCCTATCGAGGGCGAAAACCTGAATGCCAGGTTCTAAGTCAGGGGTAAACAGAGCAGAGTTATTCATATGTTTGTTTAAGTGTTTTGTATAGTGTCCCTCGAGACGCGGGTGGTGCTGTGGGTTAAACCACAGAGTCTAGGACTTGCCGATCAGAAGGTCGGTGGTTCAAATCCCCGTGACGGGGTGAGCTCCCGTTGCTCAGTCCCTGCTCCTGCCAACCTAGCAGTTTGAAAGCACATCAAAGTGCAAGTAGATCAATAGGTACCGCTCTGGCGGGAAGGTAAACGGCGTTTCTGTGCGCTGCTCTGGTTCGCCAGAAGCGGCTTAGTCATGCTGGCCACATGACCCGGAAGCTGTACGCCAGCTCCCTCGGCCAATAAAGCGAGATGAGCGCTGCAACCCCAGAGTCGGTCACGACTGGACCTAATGGTCAGGGGTCCCTTTACCTTTACCTTTTTTATAGTGTCCCTCACTAATAGGTCCTTGAGCAGTTTACATGAATAAAATGTAAAACAATACAAAAGTAATAAAACTCAGATATAACAAAACAATGTCATAATGCCAACACACACAGAAAAGAAAAAGAGGCAGCTTTAAATTATTCAACTCCAAACAAATCTAATAGTAAAAGCTGTCAATTCTTCACACCCGCACACTCACAAAAGCTGGATGAAAGGAATGCATCTGGACCTGTTTTCTAAAACTGTGTAACGAAGTGACCAGGCACACCTCAGCAGGGAGGGAACTCTACAGACCTGGAGCCACCACCCAAAAGACTCTTCTCTGAGCCAATATCCTGCGTACCTTGCCCTGCAGTGAGACCACCAGGAGGGCCTTAGAGGTCGTTCTCAAGGCACAGGCAAGTCTGTATGGAGCAGGTGTTTTCTCTTATATTTAGGCCCCGGGTCATTCAGGGATTAAAACATAAGCAAAAGTGCCTTGAATTGAGCCTAGACTATGATCAGGACCAATGGTGATGTTGGAAAAATGGGATGTCCATGTGCTTGACCCACTGCCCTCATGCAAAGGGGAGTGTGACCAACGTTCGCACCACGCACACCTTTGGGGGTGCCACAGCAGGCGCTGTTGCAACTATGACATACAATGGAAGGCAAGAGGGAAGTGGGTGCAGGTGTCAGATTTGGGCATCAAACAGGGTGCCACTGAAATTTGAGATGCCAAGGCAAGCAGAGTTTCTAGACCATGTTTAAGGACAACCCCATGTTCGACTCCAACTCCCAGCAGCCCAAATAATAATAATAATAATAATAATAATAATAATAATAATAATATATTTATACCCCACCCATCTGCTTGGGTTTCCCCAGACACTCTGGACGGCTCCCAAGAGATTAAAAACACGCTAAAAAAAATCAAACATTAAAGACTTCCCTAAACAGGGCTGCCTTCAGATGTCTTCTAAAAGTCAGATAGTTGTCTATTTCCTTGACATCTGGTGGGAGGGCGTTCCACAGGGCAGGTGCTACTACCGAGAAGACCCTCCGCCTGGTTCCCTGTAGCTTCACTTCTTGCAGAGGGAACCACCAGAAGACTCTCAGAGCTGGACCTCAGTGTCTGGACTGAACGATGGGGTGGAGGTATACTGGGCCGAGGCCATTTAGGGCTTTAAAGGCCAACACTTTGAATTGTGCTCGGAAACGCACTGGGAGCCAATGTAGGTCTTTCAAGACCAGTGTTATGTGGTCTCGGCGGCCTCTTCCAGGCACCAGGCACCAGTCTAGCTGCTGCATTCTGGATTAGTTGCAGTTTCTGGGTCACCTTCAAAGGCCAGTAGTCAGAGATGGTGGAAGTTTGATTCCCTAACATCTGAAGGGTGCAATGTTGGCTACCCCATTCTATGGTACACAGTCAGTGAGCAGGCTTGCATCCAGCAAAGGAACCAAATAGGTTGTGAAAGAAGGGAGACCCCCTCCTCTGTGCCAAGTGTAGAAATGCAGTGGGTTTGCTATAGGAGGGAGAGAGCTCCCCCTCAGCCCTCTGCCTGTGAAGTGTGGTAAATGGGATCATCTTAGTAGATGGTCCCAGTTGCAGACAGGCTCTCAACATGGTTCCCCCCACCCTGGTATGGGTGGAGCTATCGCACGCACGCCGGGGTGGCACCACAATTACGCAGGGCTATTGCCCAATCATGTCAAAGGGTGATAGTGAGGGATAGTATAAAAACAACAGCACGATGTGTGCCAGTCTCCTGCTTTGTGCTGCCATACACCCTCCCACCCTCCCTCTAATTTAGATCCTTTGGCCTTGCTTAGGACTTTGGTTGGTTGCCCGCTTGAGTCGGGGGCCAGGTAGGAATTTTTCCATTTGGCAAATTGGCACGGGCCACTTGGTTTTTGTCTACCTCTTAGCAATCGTCACAACTCTTTTTTTTAAATAATTTTTTATTAAATTTTCAGTAAAAAATTAAACAGAAAAACATAAAAAAGAAATACACAAGTACACATAAAAAAGAAATACACAAATACACAATACATAATCCAAAGAGAAAAAAAGAAAAGAAAACAGAACAATTAAAAAGAATCACCTTTTCATTTCCGTGTTTAAATTTACTTATTTTCTGGACCTCCTCATACCTCCCTCTTTTGTATTCCAGTCCAAATTGTTTGTCCAGCAATTTCTTTTCCACTTTTTTAATCCCAATCTTTAATCTTTAATATAATATAGCATTAAAATTTTACCTCTTAAAATACCAAATTTCCATTTCCTTAAACTTCTTTAATCCTAATCTTTAATCTTAATCTATCTATAACATTAAATCCTGTACAGCTGGAAACCACTTATTTTCCATCCAACATCACTCTAGCATTCTTTAATTTTGTAGTGTTTCTGTAGATAGTCTTTGAATTTCTTCCAATCCTCCTCCACCGACTCTTCTCCCTGGTCACGGATTCTACCAGTCATTTCCGCCAGTTCCATATAGTCCATCAGTTTCATCTGCCATTCCTCCAGCGTGGGAAGTTCTTGTGTCTTCCAATACTTTGCGATAAGTATTCTTGCTGCTGTTGTGGCATACATAAAGAAAGTTCTATCCTTTTTTATCACCATTTGACCGACCATGCCCAAGAGAAAGGCCTCTGGTTTCTTAGGAAAGGTATATTTGAAAACCTTTATTAATTCATTATATATCATTTCCCAGAAAGCCTTAATCTTTGGGCACGTCCACCAAAGGTGAAAAATGTACCTTCAGTTTCTTTACATTTCCAACATTTGTTATCGGGCAAATGATAGATTTTTGCAAGCTTGACTGGGGTTATGTACCACCTCCTACCTCTTGGCAATCATCACAACTCTGTAAGGTTTGGAGGTTAGGCATTGACTTATGGTGAATGTGGGAGGGGAGGTCGGCCATTGCTTGCCCCTCCACTTTCAAGGGTATTCAGTTAAAGGAAGCCAGGGCCCGGTTCCTGTCCGAAGTCCGCTTGAAGGGTGAGGGCCATGCCAGGCCTCTGGGAACACCAGGGGAGATGCGGACGGGTTCCCCCGAAGCAATTTCCCTTTGGGTGGTTTACCCTTACAGACTTCCTGCAAAGGGGACAGGAGTCAGATATAGTCTTGCCAATGCCTAAGCCAATACCACTCTCATTCCTGTAATCAATAAAGTTGTGGCCAAATTTTTGCCCGAAAACCTTAAACAAAATATCCGTTTTTGTTTAAACAAAATTTATTTATCCTAATGGGGGGTCGACTTGAGGGTCTTGCCATGCAAAAGCATTTACAGGCTAGTAACTTTTATATCAACAACCTCAGATATGCAGATGACACAACCTTGATGGCAGAAAGTGAGGAGGAATTAAAGAACCTTTTAATGAGGGTGAAAGAGGAGAGTGCAAAATATGGTCTGAAGCTCAACATCAAAAAAATGAAGATCATGGCCACTGGGCCCATCACCTCCTGACAAATAGAAGGGGAAGAAATGGAGGCAGTGAGAGATTTTACTTTCTTGGGCCCCATGATCACTGTAGATGGTGACAGCAGTCACAAAATTAAAAGACGCCTGCTACTTGGGTGAAAAGCAATGACAAACCTAGACAGCATCTTAAAAAGCAGAGACATCACCTTGCCGACAAAGGTCCATATAGTTAAAGCTATGGTTTTCTCAGTCGTGATGTATGGAAGTGAGAGCTGGACCATAAAGAAGGCTGATCGCCAAAGAACTGATGCTTTTGAATTATGGTGCTGGAGGAGATTCTTGAGAGTCCCAGGGACTGCAAGAAGATCAAATCTATCCATTCTGAAGGAAATCAGCCCTGAGTGCTCACTGGAAGGACAGATCCTGAAGCTGAGGCTCCAATACTTTGGCCACCTCATGAGAAGAGAAGACTCCCCGGAAAAGAGACCGTGATGTTGGGAAAAATGGAGGGCACAAGGAGAAGGGGACGACAGAGGATGAGATAGTTGGACAGTTTTCTCGAAGCTACCAGCATGAGTTTGACCAAACTGCTGGAGGCAGTGGAAGACAGGAGTGCCTGGCGTGCT